ACATTTCCAGACTGGCAGAAAGTATGCTGAGGCGTCTTGGAGATGTAATGAAGGCAAGAGGAGGAAATAGGCGATATTGAAATGTTAATTAAAAATCTAAAACAAAATTAAAACAAATTTTATCTGTCCGTCTTTTTTTGCATTTTCCTTAGCAATTTACTCTATTTTTTTACTTTTTTAGACAAAGACTAAATTATTAAATGTTAAAAAACGTGAAACTTTGATTAATACATAAAAATATATACAAATCAAGTTAAATTTCAAGTGGGTGGAATTTGTTGCCTGTCAGTGTATGCATTTGTACAATTTAAATAATGTTAATTCTGTAATGGCAGATTTCCTTTGGAAGAAGCAAAAAAAAATGTTAATTTAATCTCAGGCCCTGAAGATGATCTCAATAAAGATCGAAACGTTGGCACTATAAAGAAAATGTTTTTCTAAACTTACGGCAAACCAGACCGCCAGTGTATGAATCGTTTTGGACCACATACCCAATAGTATTCCAAACCAGTGATTTCTACCAAAAGTGCCTCGTTTAATTGCATCACAAACGTGTGAAATAGGACGGCAAAGGTTTTAGAGAGGGTATTTGTTTGTCGCTTCAAATAAGTGGTTCTCGTGGTATCGCTTGATTAAAGCCCCTCGAAGAGCTCGAGGCAAATTAGCGGAGGCTGATCTCCGTTTTTACCCCGGCGTCGTTTGGCAGAACGGCTGACGGATTCGGCAATCAAGGGGAAACAAATTAAAGTTTAAACCCTTTTCCACCGGTGTCGCAAGTGGAATTAGTCAAAAGATTAATATGCGTGCGGTGTGTGGCTCCAGTCGAAATTTGAGAAGAGGAGATGGCCTGGGTTTCCGGCAATTCATGATGATGAAATTATCCACAGCAACCCCGTTTACAAAGTAATGAGCTCATCTTTCCGGCCGTCTGATGATTATTATGAAGGTGAAAATGAAAGGCAACTCACTCGCATAATTGATTTGAAAATTTTACCTTATTTATATTACAATAATTATAATATCTTAACAAAATTTAAAAGAAATTTCACCATATAATAAATATTAAATTTATTAAAACAAAAGATGGTAATTTAAAATTAGTTCATAGTGAAACAGCTAATTTCCCAACAGTTCTAACATTGAGTTTACTAGAATTCCCAAGGGTCAAGAAATTAAATTCTTGAATTTTAAATTCGCCAATAAATGGAAAGTGGACATTTCTTATTATGATTGAACGAAGGGCAGGGTTTGTGATTGCAGTTAAATAAATCATTTCCCCACGGGTTTTAAGCACCCCTCCACAACAGCTGACATGTTTACATAATTTAATATTTCTCATCCACTTCTCTGTAAATTGAGAATTTATTAGATTAAGCTGTTTCTACGGCGGAAATATTTCAATAAAACGAGCGATGGCTTATCAAAAATTGAATTTCGGCGAAATTAGGCGCAAAGAATTGATGTTAGATGACAGAACAATCATGTTCTCTTATTCATCCAATAAAATTATAAATTATTCCTTAGGTCGTGTCCCTCTTGGAGAGGTCTGCGTGGTTACTGATTTGGGGTGTGGTCTTTAATAAGAAAAAAACCGTTGAGCATCATTATTCATACATGATCAATAGAGCTTACAGAAATGGGTTCATTAGAAGTGCGACGTCTGACTTTACATGTGTTTATGCAATAAAAATATTGTATCAGCCTTTGGTTAGGAGTAGTATGATTTAATTTGGTTTCATTATTACAAAACCCATTCAAATGATTTAGGAATAATTAAGAGAAAAGCTACCAAATACAAATTAAGAATGGTGGAGTGAGTGCGGTGTTCAATCCTTTTAATAAGAAAGTTCCTACTCACAGTAAGTTGTATTCACCGATCCGGATTCCGAGCTTATAGCTCATCAGGTTGAAGGAGTTTTTCAACCACGTCTTTCGACATGAATTGTAAAAGTGTCGAGAGTATTTTACAACTCTTGTCGAAAGACGTGGTTGTAGAACTCCTCCAACCTGATGATGAGCTCGAAATCCGGATAGGTGAAAATAACTTGCGGTGAGTAGGAACTAACTTTTTAAAAGGAATTTACCAAATACCTAATGTTTAAATCGGGTCTTGCCTTCATTTCTACGACCCTAGACGCATTGATATGGACACCTCGGTCACTCGTCGTGCTGCTTTTTTGTTATTCGGATGGAAGATCTTTAATGGTTTTATTGATGCTCCAGAAATTCTATCACAACTCAGCTTAAGGGTGCCTACCCGGCGTGAGAGTGACTGAACTGTTTTACATGTCCTCTTGCAGAACCAATCTTTCATCAGCGAATGTCTATATAATAAAATTTAAAAAATTACATATTAGGAACGATTTTTTTACATGTAATTTTAAATAAAACATAGTTACATTGTTAAAAAGCTTAAACAGACACCTACATGATTTCAATTTTAGAACCGCATAAACCCAAAGGTTCTTATGTGTTATACCATTTAACTGATTACCCTTATTATTTGATTAATTAATCCTTATGTAAGGTATTGGTTGAGATAAAAAAGGCAGTGTTACGAGCGGGATTCGAACCTTCGACTCAATACGCCGCTGCTCTAAACATTTTCGCAATGATGACTTCGATCCACTCGGACACCAACTTCCCATCTCAACCCACCTTTCGAATTGTCCCTACTTTTTGCCATTTTTCAAATGTCGTATAATCTATTCGATTTTCGGCGACAAATAAACTGGCCACGGAGAGCTTTAGTAAAGATATAATTCATTTTACTTATTAAATCCATTAGAGTCCGTAGTCCGATTGACCAAATAAATTTTTCAATTAATTAATTTTTATGTAAGGTATTGGTTGAGATAAAAAAAGTCAGGGTCACGAGAGGGATTGAAAAATGGCAAAAAGGAGGGAAAATTCGACCGGTTGTAGGATGAAATGGGAAGTTAGTGTCCGAGTGGATCGAAGTCACGATAGCTCAAGTGGTAGAGCAGCGGCGTATTTAGCGGAAGGTCGTGGGTTCGAATCCCGCTCGTGACACTAACTTTTTCATTTCAACTAATACCTTACGTAAAGATTAATTAATTGAAAGAAGTTATTTGGTCAATCGGACCCCGAATTCTAATGGACTTATTATTTGAGTTATGACGTATTCTTTCAATTCCAAGTGGTGTACTGTTAATGTACATGTTCTTTATTATACCTAATTTTACCTTAATTTACACCTTTTCAAAAACAAATTTAACCAATTACATTATTAAGTTAATTATTATTTTTTATAAAACTATTATTTTTTCACATTTAATTTACCTCACTATTTTGAAACTGTTTTATTGTCGATTTTTATATAATATATATGTATCTTTAAAAAAATTTATATTGTTTATAAATTTTATTTTGTCTTGTTCGCTGGTGCCCCCGAAATCGATATCGTTAAAATAAAAGGATATTTCGAAATGGTTGTATTGTTGTGTTCCTGAAAAAACACCTAAAAATATCTTAAAATATTTTTGAGTTTTTAAGGAATAGTATGGACGTTACTCTTGAACTGCAATGAATTTTAATCTTTGACTTTTCTTATTTCTATTTACATGTATGTTTTCAAATATGGTCATGTTTGTTTACTTTTATACACTGTTAACGTTACTGTTACTATTATTATATTTGGAGGCTTTCGTGTTTTAACTAAGTAATAAATGAATGAATAAATGAATAAAAGCACTTTGTTACAACAATTTCACATAAAAGAAAATTGACATAAGCGCTGGAGTCATGTACAAGTGACAGGGCAAAAGGTAAAACAGTCGCTCGACAGCCACTTACAGAATGTTGTACTCTTTTTTTTCTTTTTTTTAGATGAAAGTGTTATTTTAAAATAGTGAAATACATTTAATTTGACATTAATTTGCAAACAGAATTAAGGATTGCCTTCCTCTCCTTCGTGACAGCCGATGAGTTGGACATTAAGCCCTCCGGGAATGACATGGAAATTACAAAACTTACTTTACTTTTTTAATGGAATTCATCAGTCATGTGCCAGAGCGTATTTTACATGGGAAATCTTGCTAATTTTGAGATTTTATTTTTAAATTTGAAGGGAGGAGATGGACCTACAATTCGATAGTTTCCTATCATTTTGATCCTCGCAGGTTTAGACTATAAGGCGCGTTTCAGCTTTTCTCGATCTTCAATGTTGATTTGTGATTCTTTATTTGTTACTAGAATTCCGTTTATCTATTAGTAAAATAATCAAATGAGACATCTATTAATTTTACAATGGCCAATTTTGTAATAAATACACTTTAGTCGAATCATTAATGTCACAGTTTATCTTGTTGAGTTCACCTCGTACCTTTTTACAGAACTAACACAAATGTCGGTTTGCTTTGAAGACGTAGATAGTGCTTATTAAGCATACCATCTACATCACATACATTTCAGTATCGACGTTCAGATATCTGTGAAGGTCGCTATTGCAAATTATTAGCATAAATAAAATTTATGTTAAAAAAATCATTAGTAAACAGTGAAATGGGTGTGCAGATTTTATCGTTTTGTTACACAACATAAACCCACTACTGAAGATGGCGATATGCCAAATACGTCGGACGGAACGAAACAACAAAAATAGACCAGTCTGAATGATCAAAAACAATCAAACCACATTTTTTCAAGTTGGAAAATAAGTATGAATTGTTCTCAGTGAAATGAGAAGAATTGAGTTAATATTAGTATGTAAGAATTGAAATCATCTGTTGTGATGAAATACTTGAGTATGAAAGCCCACGAATGTATACGCAAGGTTGTTCGATTTGTCCCACATAATTTAAGGGTTGGCATTCTTGGCTCTGTATTCAGAACGAGTAGGAATCCATGTTGAACCGCCACAAGGGAGGCTACTAGTAATCATAGCAATATACGACCATACGTGTGCAGAATTGACCTTATATAAATCGGTAATCAGTATCTGAATGTAGGTAGGAAATTTTATAGTAAATTTTTAAAAATTGAATTTTCTTAAATTAGTACTTTATTTTTCCTTAAAGTAATGAGATTTAAGATTTTTGGTAACTTGTTCGACTGGCCAGGCTTATTACCAAAGTCCGTGGACACCGTGGACTCCGTAACCATGGACTCCGTATCCGTGGACTCCGAGACCGTGAACTCCGAGACCGTGTACACCGTGGACTCCGTGGACTCCGACTCCGGCCAAACCGAGGGGAGCGACGGCGGCGACGTGGGCGACGGGAGCGACAGCAGCAACTCCGTGAAGACCGTTGGCGTAAGCGTGAGAGTGGGTCAAAGCGTTTTGCCTGGCGTGAGCGACGGCGTGAGCCTGTTTGCCGACGGCCACTTCGTGGGTGTCAGCGGGAAGGTGGAGTGGGACACCGCCTCCGAGGACGTTCCTGGTTCCTTCGGTGTGTTGTTGGACGAGCTGGGCGTGCTTGGCGTGAGCGACGTAGGGGGTGTCGAGTGGGACAGGGAGGGAGTAAGGGTTGACTCCCTAGACGGACCTCTTGTACAAGTGGTGTCCGACGAGACCGTGTCCGACGAGTCCGTGTCCTACAAGTCCATGTCCGACGAGACCGTGAGCGAGGAGACCGTGTCCGGACTGTCCAGCGAAAGAGTTGTCCAAATGAGGTTTCCACTGTCCATCGTCGAGATCAGCACCGAGCCAATGGAGGTTTCCAGATCCGAGGACGGAACCGTCCAAATGGGGCTTCCATTGTCCATCGTCGTGGACGTTGGCAAGACCGACCAATCCCAAGCCATGGACGGCGCCGGCGGCAGCATAGCCGAACAAGCAAACCACAAGAACTATCTACAAAACAAAAAACATTAGATTGTTTCCATTATTCCGGAGTTTAGAGCCAATTTTATGTCCCAATTTATAAAAGTACAACTACAAAATTATTACATTATTATGTAAAATACGAAATAGTCTAAATATGAAAATATAATAATTTAATAATAATAAAATAATTTCATAACGCGATGTTAACTGTTGTTACTGTAATTATAAACTGCAAATAAAAAGTAATAAATCGTCTTTACTCACAGCTGATTTCATGATGTTTGTTTTGCACCTCCTGCGAAAGGACTGTGTTGACTGCTAGAGGTACTCGTAGGTTTATATAGTAGTGTAGATCATGACCATGAAAACGTGCCACTCCTTCTATTGCACTAAAATACTAGTGCATTCTCCTGTCGGCCTTTTTGACCATTCCGCATTAATTGAAGGAGAAAAACATTCACCAACCGGCTAATTTTCGAGGGTGTCAAATCGAAGGGTAAAAATATTTTACATTCCTTTTTGGGCGCGTTGAACACTAAAACTTGAACCAGAGTTCAGGTTTATTAAAAATTAATACAGAACGATATTTACCTATTGAATAGTTTGAAAATAAAAAATCTATGAAAAATCCAACTTTTAATTTTCATAATGGTAATGTTGCACGTTTCAAGGGACAAATCAAGATTAACTCTGGTGTAATTAGTAACTTCAACATTATGATTTTATATTGAAAGACAATCACGAATGAGGACGACTGGAAAGAATGCGCTCAGTTCGACCTTTTTAAAAACACATCCCCTTCTTTAGGACAATGAAATTATTAAATAATTATTAAATCGTAAGGTTACAATATAAAAATGTAAATAGTAAATTTGAAAATAAGTAAATATGAAATAAAAAATTGAAACTTTGTAGATCCAAATTAAATGTGAAAAATACATTATAAAATAGAAATAAATTTATTTTTCAATCTTGAACTCAATATTCTTACACGTTCAATTAAATAGAATATAAATTAATTAAATAAAAAATAAAAATTATTTTCGATTAATTAAGGTTTTTTTAAGGTTTTGTTTTTATAGTCAGTGTCACAAGCGGGATTCGAACCCACGACGTTCGGCTAAATACGCCGCAACTAAATTATTAAAGTACCTCAAAAAAATTATTCTTAAAGTATGTTAAATAAAAAAACTTAAATAAATTTATGTAACTGGAAATCTATATTATTAGTATGTTCTGTCACGACGGCATTCTTTAGCTATTTTTTGTTTCTAATACATTATTCAATTCTAATATTTTCAAGATTGTTATATCGAGTCAGGCCAGAAAATAACAAAACATAAAATTTTCGTTCTTACATTTTTTTTCTCTTGCTTTCTTGATATCTATCCATTCTATTGATATATAACTTTTTTTTAATTATTTATTTATTCATTTATTTATTTATTCGTTTAATCGTTCATTCGTTCATTCGTTCATTTATTTATTTATTTATTTTCAAGATAATTTTCATGCTCTACCGGACAAAAAGTGGATAGTTAGAAAAGATCTACGTTCCAAATTTTTATTACCTACTTTATGTGCCATGAGATTTAATGAGATTTAATGAAACACACCGGTAGGGAGTCAATGAACGGGAACGAAGAGAATTTCCGACTTAAGTATACTGGATCGTGCAGCTTCCGAAAGCTAATGCTGGAACCAATACCAACGTCAGTTAGGTTTTTATAACAACTGGAAAGACAGGAGCGTTGTCTTTGGGAGTGTCATTGGAGGATGTTGTTAAGGCCCTCTCGCCATTTTTCATTTGACATTAATCTTATTTTTAAGCCTTTTTCAATGGCCCAGTCAGGAATTTTAGTTAATCTGATAAGGCAATTCCGAAATGTTTCGACCTTCTCCAAGGCTCAATGAAAATAACCTCAGGGCCCGGCACCCGGCTTGTGGACCTCACCTTACCACAGCTCAGAAAATGGCCAGGCTTCAAATCGCATATGAATTTAACATTGAAAGATTGAGGACGAGTTCTCTTTACAGATGAGGTGACAGGTGGCCTCAGATCTCCCGATTAGCCTAAGAAGTGAAGACGCTCAGGAGAAAAATACACCCCCATGCGGTATGGTTCCACATTTGGCATTCCATGGTGGGTCAGTGATGTTCTGGGCAGGCATTTTCTTGGATGCCCGGACCGATTTGGTTCCTGTGCGAGGAAGATTCATTTCATATACAAGACAAAATCGGAGAACATATGCCATTTGTCCCCAAATCGGTGAGAAATTCTAGCTAATGTAGATTAATGCCAAGCCCCGTAGAGCACGTATTGTGAATGACAACCTGAATAAGGTAGGAATTGAATGCTTGGTGTGGCCAGTTCAAAGTACGATTTGAATCCAATTGAAAATATTTGGGAGGAACTTAACGACGACGAAACCTTCTAGAAGAGTTGGTAATGACTGTTCTTGATGAATGAAAAAAAATTCAGGATTTTACCAGAAATCCTTTCCAAAGAGTGCAAAGGCTTTTAACGGACGCAATTCGTGCCTCGTTAAAATGTAAGGCTGGTACATCAGTGTATTTCGGATAATAAAAAAAATATCCTTTCCTTACTTAGCATTTATGTTATGTTAGTTATTAAAGTAATAATCCCAACTATAATACTTTTTGTAATGTCCTGTGTGTGGCTGGTTAGTTACAAATGCATTTTTCCAATTATTTTGTTTTTTAATTAATGGTATTGTTTTGTTGCTGGCGTTATAAATTTGAATTATGACAGTTTTCACTACATAAGAGAGTTTATCCAATAAAGGTAATTTTTTTAAAGACACTTATATTAAATACACATAAATATTAATATTCAATTTTTTGCAATTCTACATTTCATCGTTAATTATCCTTATTAGCCTATAATTGTCATTAAAATAATATATCCCTCAGGATTGAAAAGTTTATTAAAGCTTGAAAATTCGACCATCTTGATTTTAGCTATTTTCACTTTAGGTAACTTGTACTTTATATAATTTTCTTCAAGTACTTATACTTGCGTTTCTGAAGCAAGTTCGTATTTCGACTGGATATTCCAGACACCAAAGAATTGTCTAACTATACGGAATAGAAAAGTTTGAGTACCTTGCATATTTCGCCGATCAATAAACATGCCTATAATTTCTGATGGTTCGAACATTCTGTTTTTATTCTATGGGTTTATTATTGTGTTAAATTTTATATATTGAATCAAAATATTAATTTAGATTAGTCGAAGGATTTTGTCTGTTACCAACCACGTCGTCGGAACCACCGGGACTAGTCAGGCAAAGATCCCTGTTGGAAGTTCAAAATAAAGGCTCATTTCTTCAGTGATACCAAATCAACACCAGCATCATTTTGATATTATCATTGAACATTATGATTATTGATAATTTTATTTTTATTTTTTATTATTGCTTTTAAACTGTTAATATAAACAGAATTATATGATAATAGCATATATAATGATCAGACGTAAAAACAAGCAGTCAGCTTTGACAAAACTTAGAAATACATAAATTTTCATTTAATTAGTGCCTATTTTAAATATATATTGTGATCTTTATTAACAGTATTAGGATTTTAGTGCAAAAGCGGGAGTGACAGGTTTTCAGGGTCGTCCGCTGTACTACTACTATATAAACATACGCGTACCGTCAACGGTCAACACAGTCCTTTCTCAGGAGGTGCAAAACTACCACCATGAAATCAGCTGTGAGTGATTAAAATATAACATAGAACTTTTAGAACCGCCCGTTTAGAAATGGATAACAAAATTTGATCTTATTGGCTGATAAAAATTACGCTGAATGTTTTTTCAAAATAATTGTAACGCTTTTTTTTCCAGTTCGCTCTTTTGTTTTGCCTTTTCGGCTACGCTGCCTCCAGTGCCGTCGGCTATGTAGGAGTTGTCGGACTCCACGGTCTGGCTCATGATGACGGTCAATGGAAGCCCCATTTGGACGGTTCCGTCCTCGGATCAGGAAATTTGAAGTGGGGACACCACGATGACGGACAGTGGAAGCCACTTTTGGACAACTCTCTCGCTGGACAATCTGGACACGGTCTCCTCGCTCACGGAGTCGTCGCTCACGGTCTCGTCGGACATGGACTTGTAGGACACGGACTCGTCGGACACGGTCTCGTCGGACACGGACTCGTCGGACACGGTCTCGTCGGACACCACTTGTACAAGAGGTCCGTCTGGGGAGTCAACCCTTACTCCCTCCCTGTCCCACTCGACACTCCCTACGTCGCTCACGCCAAGCACGCCCAGCTCGTCCAACAGCACACCGAAGGAACCAGGAACGTCCTCGGAGGCGGTGTCCCACTCCACCTTCCCGCTGACACCCACGAAGTCGCCGTCGGCAAACAGGCTCACGCCGTCGCTCACGCCAGGCAAAACGCTTTGACTCACGCTCATGCTTACGCCAACGGTCTTCACGGAGTTGCTGCTGTCGCTCCCGTCGCCGCCGTCGCTCCCCTCGGCTTGGCCGGAGTCGGAGTTCACGGAGTCCACGGTGTACACGGTCTCGGAGTTCACGGTCTCGGAGTTCACGGTCTCGGAGTCCATGGATACGGAGTCCATGGTTACGGAGTCCACGGTGTTCACGGTCTTTTCTAAGCGTGATAAAATGTAATAAAACAACCAACTGAAAACCTCCTTGTCCTAACGAAAATACACTATTTTTTTAATAAAAAGAAGTTCTTTTTTTCTTCACTTTCTAACCAAAGCAGGTGCATGAAACTGGACAAATGGGTAGCTCACAAAATACATTTTTTGTTGACGGACCTGGAGATAGTGTAAAAACATTTTTGTACAATCTAATTCATTTCTGCAGGCGTTTGGGCAAAAAATGTGCAATCATTGCTTGGGCAGGAATACCAGCAATTTGGCAATTTTTATCCCACATCTTGGACAGGACATAAAACTTTCGGGTTTCCATTAATTTTATTTGAAAACAGGGTCACATTGAATTGAAAATTAAACAGGCACTCTAAGAAGCAGACATTTTCAACTGGGATGAGCATTGATGATTCTCCAAACTGCACTGGCCATAATCGATAGGAAATTTGGTGATGTTTTAATGATGATGTGAATTTGCTATGAAAAATTTTATACTGGTGACTTTCGACAGTTAAATTTTATGAATCATGTTAACAAAAATAGTTTGTTATGGAAAAGCTTTCAGAAATTCAAATTGTCAAAGGATATATGTACGGATGAAAATTCCATTGGATTCTCAGATTGATTATTAAATATTGGAAATAATATCGTAAAAAACTTGAAATACCACAGAAAAAGAAGAGTTTTATCCATTAATCAGTCGTCATGTTTACGTTAGCCCTCTACCATATTCTATATTGAATATAATTTAGGACTCACTCGTCCCCTCTTCAGTGATAACTAAAAAATAGCATTTACATTTTTTTATAAAAATTTACGTACATTTAATAAAATTTAAACATAATAAAATTTATTTTACATTAAAATGTAAATGTTTTTCAATTATATATGAAACGGCTGTAACATTTCGTTGGAACATGGAAGGATGTTCGCCAAACATGTTAAGCTTTTTACCATTTTTACCCAAATAACAGTATTTATTATTTTTGAACATAGCTTGTTTTTTATAATTTTTTTTAAATTTTGCTTTTGGTAAGACCTGCACTTTTATGAAGCCAAAATAATTTCAATCATCCACTATTTCGTTATCTCCAATGTCCTTATTCTCAACCTTAACATTATTGTGAAAAATAGTATTTATTGTTTTCTTATGATATTTTTGACCAACTTATCTGGATAGTTGTTTATTTATAATATGTTACATATCTCCTTGAGATGCATTTTCTGATACATGAAACGTAAAAACGTAAACGTAAAAATTTTGTTGGTAGTATTTGGGACTACATTGATTTTTTGGAACGAAGGGGTGTGATGAATAAGAATTTAGCAAACGTGTAGATGTGTTTGGTTTTTTATATTAATTTTTTTTAATGGCTTTATGTTCTAGCATATTAGCCAATGACAATATTATTATGCGTATTCATTTTGGGGGGTGGGGAGGGTAACGTGAAAAAAAGGCCAGAGGCGACGGCGGGAATTGAACCCACGACCGCGGGGTCTAAGAGCCGAGAGTCTCTCACGCTAACCACTCGGCTACCAAAGTAACTGTTGCTAAAGTCGTATATGAAATTGGATAATGAAAAAGGAATTAAGATCATCTAAGGTATTAACCTAAAGGTAGTATAAGAACCTTCACACAATGCACCATTTTGGAGCACATCCTTCCAGGAAAGGTTAACATCCAACTTTATATATAATCCATTAGATTTCGTGGTCCGATTGACCACCAAATAACCACTTTCAATTAATTAATCTTTATGTAAGGTATTGGTTGAGATAAAAAAGTCAGTGTCACAAGCGGGATTCGAACCCACGACCTTGGGCTCTATACGCCGCTGCTCCACCACTTGAGCTATCGTGACTTCGATCCACTCGGGCACTAAATTCCCAACTCAACCCACCTTTTGAATTTTTTTGCCATTTGTATATATAATTGACAAATATTCACATTTTAATTTTTTTTAATCTGACGACTTTAATATGGACAGCAACTTTAAGAAAAAAAATGGATAATCTACAATTTTATCCATTAGATTTATCTATGGAAGAAATTATTATCAGCATCTAGAAATCATGAAGTGAAAAAATCAATCATTTTATTGTGAAACGACTACCAGGGGAAATTGCTAAGTGTGTTTCCATAGATCATGCTTAGTCGCTTGCATCCCATTGAATATTTACAATCAATGGCACCTTCGGGTTTGCCTCCTGCAGAACTACACTTAAAAGCAGGATGTTTATTTTATGCTATTGAGAAATTTATGTACAGGAGCCGGTTTGCGTAACGGGACCGGTTTGAGATAAAGAAAAATTGTTCGGACGGTACTACACTGCGAAATACTAACTGGGAATAAAAAGAGAGATATTGTGCATATTCATCATATATTTATATACATTACATTATATATATTAATAATCATCACACGAGGAGGTACCGAAATGCCCTTTGTTTTGAAACCGTTACAATTCCCAGCCATCTAGCATTTGCTACGATAAATAAGTCGCAAGACAAAACTTTTGAGAAAAAAGGCTTGATTATAAAAAAAAATTTACTTATACAATTAAAATGCAAATTAAAAGAAAAATACATAGAAATTACTGCTTTGGAAGAAATGTTGAAGTAGTGTACAGGTTATCTTTTCTAGCGAGCCTGCTAAAAATCGAGAGGCTTAATTACTTGGAGTTGTTGTTTTTGACTTCTTTAAAAAACTATAATATAAAACTAGCGAGGGCTTCTCTCGCCAACCCCCTAAAGCCTGCTAGCTTTTTCGCGGGGGGATGATTGAATGAAAAAAAAAAGGAAGCGGCGAAACTAAATAATATATTAATAAATAAAAAATATATTATATTATTATACAATAATAAAAATATAATAATTTCAATATTCTGAGTGCAAATTGGGCCTTTTAACGCGCATGTAATTTTCATCAAACCAATTTTTTTAGGGCATTCCTTTAATATATTAGCAGAATCCCGTAAAAAGTAGCTCAATTATTGCCCCCATTCGATCAGATTCATTTCTAATTGTATTTAAATTATTTATTATTTACTATTACTTGTTAACTATATGATTGGTGTGTGTTTAGCGTTCAATTTTTACTAATTTACAGTATTATTATAAAAGGCAGTTTTATAAAAATATAACACCTTTTCCCTCACGTGTAATGCTATTAATTTTTTATAGAAAAATGAGTGAAAAAGAAAAAAAAATGATTTCACAGAAAATTTAATTTATTGATTAGCATTAAAATTTGATTCCTTTCTTTTAGGGAACAATTGATGCATATAAAATAAAAATAAAAACGACTTACAGTTTGATGTCGCAAGGAATAATCCCGAAGAGAAACCCTTCGAGGTTTTTAATTTAAAACCCAAAATAAAATTTACACTAATGGTTTGCTAACTGAATCAAACACCTTCCAAAACCTTTTCTCTCAAATTTTAAATAGTTTCTAATCTTCACAGTAAATTAAACTTAATCAACAGGATCCACTTTCGGGCCGAGCAAATCGATGAGCAAACGGCGGCTGATGGGTCTTTTTGTTAATCTCTCCCCTTTCGAGATTTTCCAGCTGACACATCCACGACCAATCAGATTGGTCGTGTTTCTTCCTAATTTGAAAATTTGAACATTTTAATTGGGATGGGCCACCATCACACAAGCATATAAGCAAACTGCAAAACTATTTTGAAACATGAAATTTTTAATTGGGAACACTTTGTGGCTAAAGATGATTTATTATTTGATTGCGGCAATTCTTGAAATACTAAGTTGATACTAAGTAGTTTTACTTAATTAACTTCAAATAAAATAAAATTAGTTAGTTATGAATTAGTTTAATGATTTAATCAATTGTTATGTTCGACGTTGTACATAGTTAAGTTTTTATAGAATGGTTTTATAATGAAAAACCTAAAATCTTTCAACGTACAATCTAAAACCAGAAAAAGACAGAAATTACAAGACAAAATGAACTAAAACGTACTTTTAGGAAACATCAAACTATCCTTATCGGAACTCGTTCAAACGGATACAATTGAAAGCTCTCTTTCCTTTTAGAACTAAAAGAGTTCAACCGTCAGGGGATGTGGATTAGTAGTGTGAGGTAAAAGCCATTCTAAAAGAGGAAAAACACATCGGAGGTTTTAACAGATTGTACGTTGCAAACTATGTTCTTAAAAATTCTTGGTTGGTTCTAAAGGAACGTACAGGAATAAAATGTCCGGAAAATATTTTATTTATTTCAAGTTACTTATAGCAGTAAAAATATTCAATTTATAGTAACTTCAAACCAAATGAAATCATCAATAGTAGCATACTTGAAGTAACAACCACGCCACAAGAAGAAAATATAAAGCTAGTTTCACCTAAAGAAGTAGCACGAGAAATTAAAAATTTACCCGCTAAAAAGACTCCAGGATATGACCTTATCATACCTATAGAAATAACATACCTATTTAATGCTGCAATCAGACTTAAATATATTCCCAGCATCTGGAAATTCGCAGAAGTCATTATGATAAAAAAACCAGGAAAACCGGCGAACGCAGTTAAATCATATAGACCAATATCGCTACTACCAACAGGGTCTAAACTCTTCGAAAAGTTACTATTAAAACGAATAAAACACATCGTTGAAAAAAAGAAAATCATTCCTGACCACCAATTTGGATTCCGAACAAGACACTCAACAATAGACCAAATTCACCGAGTAACGGACGTAATAGAAAAACTAATTCATTACACTATCAGGTTTTATTAATATTACCGAAAGCCACACTTTTAGCAGAGTATATGATTATTATTTTTTTAACAGAACTTCATTNCTGGTGTGATGTAGGTTTCAGAAAAACATTTTCTTTATCGTGCCAACGTTTCGATCTTTATTGAGATCATCTTCAGGGCTCAAAGTGTTTGTCTTCTGTGTAATTGTGGGCACTCTCGACACGACACGCAAGAATGGCACAATTACACAGAAGACAAACACTTTAAACCCTGAAGATGATCTCAATAAAGATCGAAACGTTGGCATGAAAAGAAAATGTTTTTCTGAAACCTACATCTCACCAGACCGCATCTCACGATTTCTAAATAAATACTGATTGTAATGAAATAGTGTCCTGAGGAAGCCGAAAGCTTCGACAGCAGAAAAAGAAGTGGTTTTTTTCACCTTCACGGCTTCATCCCTTATCTGTTTATTTCAATATAATATTACAATATTAATTTAAAATTTACCACTTACGTTTCTCAAATTTTATACTTTATTGCTAAGAATTCTTCACTTCGTCACATGCCACTAAGCGCATGTCATCCATACAAAAATATCTTATCTGAAACAAAGCTACAATAAAAGTATTATCAAAGCAATGCTCTAGGCACAATGCTCAAAGAAATGCTGAGATTTCATTCATCTGTCCAAATATACCGTTGGTTAATTGTAATTACCTTACATTATATTATTTTTGATTTTTCCTGCTATTCTCTGGGATTTTGCTTCCTTAGTTCAGTGTACGACAGCCTTACCCTTCCCTACATTGACTTGTGCGTATACTATTTGTTTTTAATAGTTAAGCTTAAGATGAGTCATTCATTCATTTCCTTATTGCTTTTTTCCTTTGACTTGACGCCCCATTTTAGTAAAATCAACTTAATTTTTGTTTTTATTTTTCTCTATTCAAGTTCGTATCATAATAACATAATTTTAATAAATTTCAGTTAATATATTTTTTGTACTGCAAATGTTTTGAAAGGTTATATTTCTTTCGGTTCGGAAGGTGTAGATAAAAAAATTATTTTGTTTATAAAAATAGTGTATTTGTCCATAGGACAAGGAAGTTTGAGGCTGGATGTATGACTACATCTTATCACATTTAGAAAAGACCGTGAACACCATGAACTCCATAACCATGGACTCCGTATTCGTGAACTCCGAGACCGTGAACTCCGACTCCGGCCAAACCGAGGGGAGCGACGGCGGCGACGGGGGCGACAGCAGCGACGTGGGCGACGGGAGCGACAGCAGCAACTCCGTGAAGACCGTTGGCGTAAGCGTGAGCGTGGGTCAAAGCGTTTTGTCTGGCGTGAGCGACGGCGTGAGCTTGTTTGCCGACGGCGACTTCGTGGGTGTCAGCGGGAAGGTGGAGTGGGACACCGCCTCCGAGGACGTTCCTGGTTCCTTCGGTGTGCTGTTGGACGAGCTGGGCGTGCTTGGCGTGAGCGACGTAGGGGGTGTCGAGTGGGACAGGGAGGGAGTGAGGGTTGACTCCCCAGACGGACCTCTTGTACAAGTGATGTCCGACGAGACCGTGTCCTACAAGACCGTGTCCGACAAGACTGTGTCCAACAAGACCATGGGCTCCGTATCCGTGGACACCGTGAACTCCGACTCCAGCCAAACCGAGGGGAGCGACGGGGGCGACAGCAGCAACGGGAGCGACAGCAGCGACGTGAGCGACGGGAGCGACAGCAGCAACTCCGTGAAGACCGTTGGTGTAAGCGTGAGCGTGGGTCAAAGCGTTTTGCCTGGCGTGAGCGACGGCGTGAGCCTGTTTGCTGACGGCGACTTCGTGGGTGTCAGCGGGAAGGTGGAGTGGGACACCGCCTCCGAGGACGTTCCTGGTTCCTTCGGTGTGCTGTTGGACGAGCTGGGCGTGCTTGGCGTGAGCGACGTAGGGGGTGTCGAGTGGGACAGGGAGGGAGTGAGGGTTGACTCCCCAGACGGACCTCTTGTACAAGTGATGTCCGACGAGACCGTGTCCTACAAGACCGTGTCCGACAAGACTGTGTCCAACAAGACCATGGGCTCCGTATCCGTGGACACCGTGAACTCCGACTCCAGCCAAACCGAGGGGAGCGACGGGGGCGACAGCAGCAACGGGAGCGACAGCAGCGACGTGAGCGACGGGAGCGACAGCAGCAACTCCGTGAAGACCGTTGGTGTAAGCATGAGCGTGAGTCAAAGCGTTTTGCCTGGCGTGAGCGACGGCGTGAGCCTGTTTGCTGACGGCGACTTCGTGGGTGTCAGCGGGAAGGTGGAGTGGGACACCACCTCCGAGGACATTCCTGGTTCCTTCACTGTGTTGTTGGACAAGCTGGGCCTGCTTGGCGAGGGCGACATGAAGGGTGTCAGCGGGGACGGGAAGGGAGTGAGGGTTGACAACTCCTACCAATCCAACAGCGCTGGAGGCAGCATAGCCGAACAGGCAAGCCAAAAGAACGAACTGCAAATAAAAAGCATTATAATATCTTTTTTAATGCGTAAATGACTTTTAGAGTTCAATAGAGCCAAATGTTGTTCTCCACTATTAAAAGTCTTCCCTAAAATTCGTTTATGATATAACTAATAACTTATATATACTCACAGCTGATTTCATGGTGTTTGCAGTGCACCTCCTGAGAAAGGACTGTGTTGACCGTTGAGGGTGAACGTACGTTTATATACGTAAGTACAGAGCATGACCATGAAAACTTACTACTCCCCCCTTTTCATTAAAATACGAGTGAAGTTACATTCACCCGTATGCTTTTTTACATTCCTGTTGTATTTTATGATGATCTCTAATGTACTACTGGCAAGGTTACGGACTTGGACCAAACTTTCATTTAGTGCTGCTACACCCCTAAATATAGGACACACACCAATTTTCAAAAGCATTTTATAATGTATCAAACATTAAAGTTGGATATTATTTATATTTAAAAAAGGGGATTATTTTCTGAAAAATAATTTTGTTATATTGTGTATTTTCTTACAGAAATATTTTACATATTTTAAAAAGCGACTACATTCCTCTTCTTTCATTTGGTCTGTTTGATGCTAAAATCCTTTTAGCCGTTTTTGAATTACAGCCGTTTCCATCAGATATTCGGATAACCACTTCTAAAAAATTGGAAAAATTTATGGGATAAAATATCGATAAATTTTAATTCTACCAAAAATTTATATTTTGGGATCTTCAAAAGTTCTAAAATGAAATTTCATATTAGCTTCACGAAAAAAACGTTATGACCTAGCATACTTGAAAAATATTTGGGGTTTAGCAATTTTTTCGTTATTGATAAACTTTCATACCTTTTACAATATTTTCATTGCTATACATAAAAAGTACGTTAAAATGATATATTCACATAATTAATTTAAGCAATATAAAGGCGAAATAAAAATAATAAAAACGGAAAATTTCATTTTTTTTTAAATGGCGAAACCAGGGCCATTAACAAGAACTGGCATATAAGTGTCCGTTATTTTGAAGATTTGAACCTCCAGCAGCCCTGCATTCGAACCCGGGACCTTCACCTTACAGTGATGAGCGCCGTGTCACCGGCTAAACCGTTGTGGCCACCGACGCCCCCTTTGTTTTTGTTATTTTTGTTAATTATAAGTATAATCTGGTTTGGGATGTTATTGGGTATGTGGTCCTTCAATGAATCATACACTGTATTATACAGTTGCCAAGCTTTCGGCTCTATATTTGCCCTTCCTCAGGGAATGTACGACGTCCTAAATAAAAATAACAATGTAATAACCATTTAAAAGTCAACGATTGTTTAAATACACCTCTCTATACGTTTTTAACAGAAATTGTCAAGTTATAACTATAGGTTATAAGTATAGGTTATAACGATAACCTGACAAGTTCTGTTAAAAACGTGTAGAGAGATTATAATCAAAGTTGGTCGATAACTGAACAACCTCGTAATTATAAGTACGTCTAAATGTATTCATGCTTGTAACATTTGTAACCTTTATATTTTTACTGTTTACATGTGAAATGCGGAAGTCTATATGTGAAGCTAAATAAATCTCCATTTGAACCCTTAAATCATCTAATTTTAAGGAATTACCCAAATCTGATTTGATGGAAATTCTTTTATTCCTAAGATGAAAGATATATATATATATATATATAGAGAGAGAGAGAGAGAGAGAGAGAGAGAGAGAGAGAGAGAGAGAGTGAGAGAGAGGGAAGACTTAAAGACGAATAATGACGCTAAAGTGGTAACTTAATTTCTTGAAATTCAAATTTGGTATATGTTTTTATATATTGTTTATGCTGTAATATAATAATCAATTTTTATTATTTTAGGCATTTGTATCAATATGATCCCAGGGTTGCCTCCAATTCTGCCCCCCTGTTGTTTTTTGTTGGGGTGTTATTGTGAAATATTTCGAGGCACGCTAATAACCGTTGGAATGGTAGCCCCTAATTAAAAACCGTTTTCCATCTTTGAATTCAAATTTGAAAAAACCTATCAAAATATGTACATTGATGAGTAATTTATCATTTGAAATAGTATATGTACCATTTCAAACAGATCCTACTCGTAACCCGCGATCCTGGAAAGTTGTGTTAAAACTTTTTGGTTCATGAGAAACCTGACAAAACCCAAAAGTTACGTGTCTCTATTCCTCCCCCCCTCAAAAAAAGCCACAATCAAAAAGAAAATATATGACCAGAAGTTAATCTCAACCTGTATGTATTTGCAGTACTTGTCTCTATGTGGATTTGTATTTGCTTTACTATACTGTTCACCTAAATAAACAAAAAAGTGTCAAATAAGTTTTTATTTAAAAAAAAATTAATAATAAATGAATAAATTATATATATATATAATTTGAGGAATAATGTTTATACAAGTAAAAGGTTATTATACCTACTTTGATATAAAGGGTGTCCCAGTTCCTTCTGACGAAACTCAGGGAATCGATTCTACTCTTTGTTTGGAGCAAAAAATGCTCAGGAGACAATTTTCGAAAAGTTCTCCATTTTGAAGATATTCGTCAATTTAGGTTTTTTCAACTTTACACTACCTTACCACATAAAAACGCTTACAACTTCCAAACTGTTGAGACTAGAACAAATCCAATTACACCATTTGAAAGAACGCTAAATTTTCTGTGTGATACTTCCATTTGCAATAATCTGAATGATGTAAAATGTTAGCCAATATCGCTGTAAGGTGAAGGTCCCGGGTTCGAATGCAGGGCCGCTGGATTCGAACCCGACATACTTACAAATTGGATTTTTTCACAAACACCGGCACCCTGAGGGTTGATATGACTTCTACTGTTGCGAACCCTAACAAAAGAAAAAAAACCATCGTGAAATCATTTAAAATATACATTAAAACTATGTAATTAATATTAATAATTGGTCAAAGACGTGAATAATTCTATTGCATTTATTTTTTTTATCACTTACTCAATAACTGCAAAGTTATAGGACATAAAATAACCTATATATTTAAAAGTTCTATAATAAGAAATGACGAACTGTTTATTTATAACAACCCTAACCTTCTAAAACCATCATCCAAGGCAGAAAAAGTAGTGACTGCTACTTTATTATTATTATTTTATTTATTTAATCTGAAAAAATGCAATTTTTATTTAATAATTAAAGGTTTCTACGTTAGTAAATATCATATCAAGAAGTCATAACGAACTCATTTTAGACAAATTGAGTGTGGACATGTTTAAATTGATTTAATCGAATAAGACTGTTACAACGTACACTAAATCTAAACGACAAATGTGAAATAAAATTTAATTTGTTTTGTACTGTAGTCAACTGACGTTTTATCTGTTTATTTAAAAGGAGAGAGAACTTTCAACGCAACTCTTTTCCGAGTTATCCGCAACGATTTCCACTAAGGATAGTTTGATTTTCATCGAAAGTTCGTTTTAGTTTATTTTCTCTGTTTACTACTTGTCATTCCAGTTTTGGATTCAACTTGATCACTGGGAGACATTTCACCTATTTTATTAGAGACCGCTTTTGGTTTTTGTAATTTTTAATAAATTACATTGCTTTACATTTAATACTGTCCTGTGCATGTATGATTACCTTATCCCACCGAATAGAATCAACTAATATAGTACTTTGAAATACACGTTCAATAAAGGCATAAAAATTTACAATACTTTATAGAGGAATGATTTATGCACTAAATTCACTCAATATATTGATATGATGTAAACCAATCCTTTAGATAGTAAGGCACTGTTTCGATATTTTTAGTAACTAACATAAAAAACAAAAATAAATGAAATCACAAAAAATATTCATTATGCCCTAGATAGGTAAGCATAAAGAAGTTATAATTAAATACCGTTCTATTGATTTTTAAATTAAAATCTGAAACATTTCGCTGAGCATATAGTTCAAAATAATCTGGAGCACATACATAGTTGTTACTAAAACGTTTAGAATGTTTGTTAGACAGTATCAATTTTTTCATCACTGATCTTACAATTTATAAGTAATTAATGTAAGTTATGAAATGTTTTAAATAAATTGCCCACTTAAAATTGTATTGGATTCAGTAGGAAGGGGAGAAAAAATACTTATTTGTTGTGTTTTTTATAAAAAACAATAGTGTATTTTTCTTTAGGACTACAAGGTTTTCAGATGGTTGTTTGACTACATCTTATCACATTTAGAAAAGACCGTGAACACCATGGACTCCGTATCCGTGGACTCCGAGACCGTGAACTCCGAGACCGTGTACACCGTGGACTCCGTGAACTCCTACTCCGGCCAAGCCGAGGGGAGCGACGGCGGCGACGGGAGCGACAGCAGCAACTCCGTGAAGACCGTTGGCGTAAGCGTGAGCGTGGGTCAAAGCGTTTTGCCTGGCGTGAGCGACGGCGTGAGCCTGTTTGCCGACGGCGACTTCGAGGGTGTCGAGTGGGACAGGGAGAGAATGAGGGTTGACTCCCCAGACGGACCTCTTGTACAAGTGGTGTCCGACGAGACCGTGTCCGACGAGTCCATGTCCGACGAGACCGTGAGCGACGACTCCGTGAGCGAGGAGACCGTGTCCAGATTGTCCAGCGAGAGAGTTGTCCAAAAGTGGCTTCCACTGTCCGTCATCGTGGTGTCCCCACTTCAAATTTCCTGATCCGAGGACGGAACCGTCCAAATGGGGCTTCCATTGACCGTCATCATGAGCCAGACCGTGGAGTCCGACAACTCCTACATAGCCGACGGCACTGGAGGCAGCGTAGCCGAAAAGGCAAACCAAAAGAGCGAACTGGAAAAAAAAGCGTTACAATTATTTTGAAAAAACATTCAGCGTAAATTTTATCAGCCAATAAGATCACATTTTGTTATCCATTTCTAAACGGGCGGTTCTAAAAGTTGTCTATGTTATATTTTAATCACTCACAGCTGATTTCATGGTGGTAGTTTTGCACCTCCTGAGAAAGGACTGTGTTGACCGTTGACGGTACGCGTATGTTTATATAGTAGTGCGGTGAATGACCATGAAAATTGCCACTCCCTCTTTTTCATTAAAATATTAGTCAAGTGACAATCACATGTGTGTGTTTTATATAATCCCGTTAGATTTGTAACAATCTCTAATCTACTGTTGACATAAACAGTAATATTCACGGTGCCAAATCCAATCCCAAAACCATTTATTTTATCATCAATATGTGTGCAATG